AACCATTGTGTATCCCAATATATCCAATCACTGTCACATCACAGACAGAAATAGGTTTCCATGAGAGACAACAGTTACCTCTTAGGCTTGCTTGGGCTATAACAATACACAAGAGCCAAGGACTTACGCTTCCAAAAGCATGGATAGATATTGGCAAATCTGAAAGAACAGCTGGAGTTTCCTATGTTGCTATTAGTAGAGTAAAATCACTTGCATCTTGTGTCATTGAACCTATGACGTATGAAAGATTAACAAGCTTGAAATCATCAGCTAACTTACAATATAGGCTTGAAGAAGAAAACAGGCTAGATCAGTTAGCACAGGCTACTAGCAGTGCATTTAGAACAACAAACTATTGAGGTTGAATAAGAAAGGGATTTCATATATGGGTCCCAGTTATATTTTGCAATGTAGTTTGACTATATACCCTTTTAAATAATTTAATTTATTATATAATAACTAATTTACTCATTGTTATCACTGTATCTATGAAAATATTATGATTTGCAAGTGGAAATAATGGTAAGTATTTTGTTTGTTAATTAAACCCCTCCCCTCCCCTGCCCTACTTTTCTTTTCATTCATTTATGTGCTACCATGTTTCTAAGTAAATATCTCATGCTGGCAATTATTTGTTGTATAGTTTTGCAATTCTGACGGATGTGAATGGTGCCATGTTAACTGCTGGATGAAACCAAATGGTTGTTAAAGTCAAAATATAATATGGATATATTACATCGCATGAAAATCGATGGGAGCTTCTGGATTAACAGAAATGTATTTCTATTAAAGCAAGAATGCTGATTTACAAGTTTGTATGGATATATTACATCTAATGCAATGGGATGGAATCTGAATTTCGCTGTACTTGTTTCCAATCTATCATGTGGATGTCAGGAACATTGTATGTCAAGATATTACATACCTTTACTGTATATGTACAGTAACCTAACAAGTTATTGAACAATAATGATGGCCAACAATGGATACTACCTGTACATGCTAAATAAATACGAAATATTTATATGTTGGACAAAAAACGAATAGTGTAAGACTTGTTTACCAAATGGAAAATACAATATGGACTATCATTACCTTGGAAAGAAAGAATATCAAAACTTGCAACAAACTGGTCATATCAGGTTAAAAGACATATCGTGTATATTCCTAATTGTGTTCTTCTAGACGTTTGACAAGTGAAGATGGTTAAAACATTGGTACCAACAATCACAAGCATACATTTAAATATGAAAATCCGAAGTACACGTTATAATAGTATATATAGTAATTATTGCATGTTATAATTTCGATATTTCTTAAACAAAATAAATTCGTACATACAGTGTCTATAAGGCAATTTAAGTAAATGACGTTTATTGGTATAATCAATCCCCAGGACTTTGGTGCTGAGGCAGCACTTCCCTTGCGATAGTAACTTCTAGTTTATGCATAAATATGCATGTACACGGAAACGGCAAGTTTCTGCTTGTTTATTTCAGGTAGTAATATAACCACTCAGCACAGCATTTCAGTTGGGCCTGTTTCAAACGTCGCGCTTCTCATGTGCCGAACGCATTAAAAACAATTGTGTCAGGATTAATAGTGTGTCAGGATTAAAGGAATACCGAATGGTTTTCCGTGCAGGATTGCGTGATCCATGCACGAGGGATGTCGCGAGACTTTCGGAAAGCGCAAAAGTACTCGAGCCGCAGGCGAGTGTATTTTTACGCTTTCCGAAAGTCGAGCAACATCCCAAGTGCATGGATCACGCTATACTGCTTGGAAAACCATTTGGTAATTGTTTTATAAAATAACTACAGTGAAACAATGGCATTTTGTGAACCCCGCGAAGGCATTTTAATTCCTCGTGCAGGATAGCCTGATCCTGTACGGCTATTGACCAACCAAATTGCGTGTTTCACTGTAGTTATTATATAAATGATGGTCTGGAAGCCCGGCAAACTTCAAAGTCACAAATAGAAGAGCTTTGTTTGATGTTGAACTGTACCTCATCGTGCACAAATCCTTGTCTCAAATTCATTAAATATTACTCATCGTCGTTGCACGTTTCATCTCAGCTAAACAGTCTAATGTTGAAGCAATTTTCTTATATAATTTACACATATATGCACGGACCAAGTAAGATGTTTATCAATGTGTATCCCCAAGGATAAAGGAATTTCATTTCAATTGATTCTTAAGTTAATATCCGCACCTGTAACTTTTGTTTTCTGCCGAGAAAGAATTACCACAAGCTCTGTCTTTATAAGGAGCGTTTCTTTGGTAAATCTAGATTTGGATTTTTAGGAATCGTTTTTTTTTTGGATTCGTTAAACAAATGGAACGAATTGTGAGAATCGGATTTCTCCTGCTGTTTTCCCGCCATTTTTTCTGTCCCACTATACCTTTCGGTCGGGTCAAGATACATGCTAGAAGGCCAGAAACTCAAAAGGAACGTTTAATCCTAATCAAGATTCAGATTGAATCCGAAAAATCCATATGTTGAAGTGGATTCATCAGATTCGAATCTATTTTAAGATTTTGTTAAACGAAACTGAAAATCGATAATCGGATTCGAAGATCCAAATCCAGATTGTACTAAAGGAACGCATCCTATGGTATTCAAGCTTAGCCTACGAAAATACAATGAGCTCAATCACCGTGACCGTGCACAAATTAACATAAACTCAGACAAAAACATCAAACAAGGACTTCCGCTCCGTTTCCAGACCATCATATCTTGATAGACTATGCATCAAGCAAAATCGCTTTATAGAAGTATATATTTCATGAATGTGCATTTGCGTTATTATGGATTAATAATATATATGAAAATGTTGGAGAATGTTGGTTTATAGCGAACCGTTCACTGACAATGTTATCCTGCTATGGCTATGTTATATCACATTAAAATTTCACTCAAATATGTACGTTTTGCTAGTCTTGTTCAAGGTAAAGTCTTTTCCATTTTTAAAAATATAAATGCCATATTTTCCAGCCCAACACAACTTGTACTTGATGTAGCGCGCCGCCATGTTTGTTTTGTTTTCTGTGACCGTTACTTGACGACTATTTTAAACTGATTGGTTGGTATTAAATCCCATTGTTTTTTTCGCTAATCAGATCAGTGCGTTATCAGGATTCGTAGTCTCCAAGACCTAACAAATTCAAAGACTTTCAAAGATTTTTTCCCTATTTTTAAAGACTTTTCAAAGACCTTTGAGAGCAATCAGGTGTCGAAAAATTGCGAGTGTAAGCACCATTTTTACCCAGTAATTAGCCCCGTCAAATCACATTCAATCAATCTATTTTATTAGCTACGAAATCGTAAAATCAATTCCTCACTAAATAATTTAAAGACTTTTAAAGTCTTTCTTCGTTTTTTTCACACAATTTAAAGACTTTTCAAAGACCTCAAAGACCTGCATTCCAATTTAAAGACTTTCAAAGATTTCAAAGACCGCTACGAACCCTGGTTATACAGATTTTACAGAATTTTGCACTCCTGTTTGAGATTAACTGCACTGAAATCAATTACCAATCCCAATCAAGTAATATTTTTATGTATATATAATTATTAAAGATGTTATGCTAGTATACTTGGAAAATTAAGACGTACTTTAAAGTAACCAATATAGAGCGTGCCAGCTCTTAAAACATAGAGACTGGAACCAGGATTTCCTTTGGTTAATTTCGGAGACTCGCGCGTTACACCATCGAGGTAGAATCTCAACTCAGCGTTCGACTCTAGTACAATTGTTACGGTATGCCAATTTTTGTCATTTACTGGGTATGACAAAGGGAATGTAAAAGTGTATCTGTAATGAGAAAAAGTTCATATATATACATTCATTTGATCAAATTTTAGATGATCCGAACCACAGAGTAAATCATTTAATTCTTCACAAAAACTTCGCAAAATTACCAATTACGTAAAGATAAGAAGATACACCGTATATTCCGAAATTTTCTACTGAACGGTTTAAAAACTCGTTGATCATTTTTGGTCTTGTTTATTGTTTTTGGAAATTTTGGACCCATATCGATCGCTTACTCTCAAAATAAAAGATTAGCGTGACCCCTCTCTTGAAGTAACATGCATATGTCCTCAATACTCCAAGATGGCGAAGAGCAGTCGGGCGTAGCCAGCCCGACAATTTAGTCCCGCTATGCCAATTCAAAATTATTATCATTATTCATAGATATAAACAATCTGTAATAGTCTTAAGGCGGTTTTCCAGTCCTCGCAGCTCGCTGCGAGTGCATGCAACTAATTAAAATTAACTGTTTAGCATTGTGATTGGATGAAAGTGCTCATGCATCACTCGCAGCGGGCTGTGAGGAGCTTCGTGCGAGGACTGGAAATCGGCCTTAAGAGTTTAATAATAGTTTTACGAGTTCTTTCAAATAAACTAAACTATTTTTTATCGCCAATGTCTAGCTTAACACTTCGATTTTAGTCAATTCTACGAGAACTCAATGACGAAAATTGTGAAATCACTTTAAATCCAAAATAGGGTAAGTAAGTAAGTGGGGTGTGCTAATCATCCTTACTTGGGCTGAGATGAATTATGAGGGACGCAGCTCAACCTGATCCAGTCGAAGGCTTTCTAAGGGCGCCTTTGGAAGCCACCTTATGACTCACGTCTTATCATGAAGGATAGCAACGGTGGAAGGGTCAGTTAGAGCATAGTTAATAGAGGAGATGGTTTGGAAACTCATTAGCATTACAATAAACCTCACTATCTATGTTTTTGTTCAGGTTTATGCAAAAATGTGGTCTTTCATCGTCACGTGCGTATTGTATTTTTGCTCAACCAGCCAACAGTAACGGTTTTGTGCTACTTCCCATCCATGACTTTAACAATAGGACATTTTGAACATTCCTATTGGTTGACTTGAGAAAAATACAATACGCACGTGACGAAGAAAGACCACATTTTGCATAAACCTGAACAAGATAGATAATGAGGTTTAATGTGATTTTATTGTAATGCTAACGAGTTTCCAAACCATCTCCTCTATTAACTATGGTTAGAATCCCAACCCACCCTGTCAACATTCCCTGCGAGACGAAACCCGAGTACCTGGAGAAAACTCGCGATTTTCGGTAGAGCGTTGACTGACTCTTTTCATATGAGTCCGTAGCATAGATATCTTATATACACTAGATAGCGCATCTCTTTTAGTAAAATTGAAGCCAAAAATATTCCAGCGGTTACCCCCATTTGAATAGATGGCGGCCATGTTGGTCGTTCCCACTTGCTAATAAACGCTTAAAAACAACATTAACTTTCATCATTTGAATAGTTTAAAAACGTATTTGCAATAGGGTTAACTTAATGTTTAAGTTCCCTGTTCAAGAAATAGAAAATATACGAATCTTCTCATTTCATGGGAACGACCTGAGACTGCAATCACGGCTTCAATTGTTGAATTGCAGAATAATTAGATGCACTATCTAGTGTATATAAGATATCTATGGTCCGTAGCGAGAATCCAATCCACGATCTCAGAGGTGAATGGCGCTTGCTCTGGCGATTGCGCCACCGAAGCCCAATTCAGGGAACATATCAAGCATTCGACGATGAAATACGAGGGACCACAAATTTCAATTATATCAACACTAGTTTTTAACCATAATACAGCTGAAATACGGAAACAAGATGACAAACAGAATATACTACGGAGTGAAGAATTATTAAGTTTTTAAACCGGTTTCAGTTTTTAATTATGAAGCAAATTTAGAAAAATGTCATCATCAATATTCCAAACGATATGTGATTCGAAAGAAAAGTGATAAATACTGGGGTTTATCAGAAAATAAAACATCGTATACTCAGGAAGGTATGCGACAAGTGTAGGGACCAATAGCTCGAATTAATTAATTGTGGAGCTATTTGTATAACATTGTTTAGGTCAGAATGTGGTTATGTGGGATCAATTTGTATAAGATATATGCGCTGAATACGGCGAAGTGAACAGTTTAAGACTAAGTGTTGAAGAAGTGATAAACAATCAAATATATTTAAAGTAATTCATTATTGACATGGATAAGGACAAAGGACTAACATCGCTGTAAAATAATATTCGTCAATGTGAGAAAACGTATATAATATCCGTTTAATTCCAACATGAAAAATGACGCAGCACAGTTAATAAAAGGTTCAAACAATTAAAAGGCTGCGTCAGGTTTGATGTTGGCATTAAACGGATATTATAGCAAGTTTTATATTCTCAACTCGAGGCTTTTAATTTTCGGTATAATATATATCATTTATAGATCCTCCGTTCGGGGGATTCGAGGACACCGAAGTAATGATATTCTCCTATACGGGCTTTGCCCCGAGGGAAATATCGTCACCAAAGGGTAATATTTTGCCAAATCCCCCTCGCTCCAGGTCTATAAATGAAAAAGTATTCTTGGTCATTTTCAGGGTGCACATCAAGCATTACGCCTGTATTCTAAAAGCTCACTCACACTCAATGTGTGCCCACTCATTCTTGATGAGTGCAACTCACCATTCAATGAGTGTCCACTCACACTCACTTAGCATAATGCGACACTCACACTCCAATTATTCAAAGACACCACTCGCACTCAAGTGAAGCTCCGATTGTGAGTAAAGTGTGAGAGGTATATCCCTTTTAGCCGCACTCTGCAACTTTATTTGATCATACCAACATGGCGGATAGGTGGCTAAATAGATATTCAATATACAATTACTTTATGGTTACCGTGTTTGGATGGCTTGATCCAAATACACGGGAATGTTGCGAGAGTTAAGAAAAGCGCGCGAAACACGAGCCGAAGGCGAGTGATTTTGCGCGCTTTTCTTAACTCGAGCAACATTCCCAAGTGTTTGGATCAGGCTATCCAAACACGGAAACCATAAAGTAATTGTTTTGTAAAATAACAACTTTCCATGTTAAAATTTCACTTTAAAAAACTTTCACTTTAAATTTCCGTGATTGGATAGCCTGATCCAAACACGGGTTTCGACCAATCAGAGCACGCGTTATATACATGTTATTGTATAATTTAATAATATGACAATAACTATTTTATATATATATATATATATATATATATATATATATATATATATATATATATATATATATATATATATATATATATATATATATATATATTCTCATATTAAAATATTGACTAGAACACACAAAATAAATTAAACGCATATATTTATTGACAGAGGTCGATTCATGGAATTAGTTTTCCTATTCTGAACATCAACACAAGTCATGGTAAATCAATATACCATACATAACATGTGAATTATTTGATGGCGTGGGTCATGTATTGAAATCGGCGACATTGATGAAACTGAGTCATTGGCCCCAACTACAGTCAGTACACCAAACAAACGCGCATTGCAGCCATCTGTCGTCGTGGCTGCCTTGTCGTTGCCATTTATCAGGAAATCACAAATATCCGATGCTCAAGCACGATGTTTAGTTTGAAAACCCAACAGCATGAAGCGGAAATGGAGCTCCTGGGTATAAAGAAAAATAATACAACAATACAACACAAAAGAATATTGGGAAACAATGAATAAGTCCGTAAAAAAACCCAAAAACAAGAGCAACACCCGAGTACAAACACACATATGCTAGGAAGTAAAACTACTTGAACCGATTATTGCATTATAAATCGCTTAAATAGTGTTTTGCGATTATCATTGTCTTACCTCTTTCAAAACTATCGTCATCAAAAGGGTTATTGCTGTCAAACTGACCTGCAATAATCGAAGCAATAGCAGCAGCTTCGTCGTCTTGTTTGGATGATGATGGAACGCCACCAGTTAACTTACTTTCTCTCTTCTCTTTTCCAAGTTGTTTTTTAACACGAGACTTTATATTTCCCCAACACTTTTTTAATTGCCGAGCATCTCTCTTAGACACACCTGGCCAGTGAGCTCTATATATATCTGGAGTAATAACTTCAGTCACTCGGTCAAAGAGAAAAGTGAAGCCAGGATCGCGGCCATTGACGTCCAATAGCTCTGAAGGTCGTAAACAGTTTTTATACAATTTTCCCCCAGCTAATTCCAGTTCTTTCTAATGGACCGTATCACTAATCAAGTTTTCAGTTCATAAATTACAATATTATTCTTTAAATCGAAGTCAAAATACGAAATTTCAACATACTCCTTGCCAAGATGGTGGAAATTGAAGAAGCTGTTGGACGTCAGTTCCAGTCCCTTTCTATTGTTTTTGTATGCGCGGTTAACACGAAACTGGCTTCACTTTGAGCAACCAAGTTCCTACTCCAGTTATATATGGAGCTCACTGCACCTGACTGGGAATCAAATTCTTCTGAGAGAGCCTTCCCACACTTTGTAACGATCTTTTTGTTGTCTGTAATCGTTCTCTTTGTTTTCCAAACTACATCTTTGTGCTCTCGCACTAATTCTGTTATAATCGACTTTTCCAATGGCGACAAATATTGTCTACTTTCAGTCATCTTGTACTTGTGGTAACGACGTACGAATGCAATTGATGATTCTACAACATGCCTATGTTCCACACTTCACATCCCTCATCAATATTAAGCGTTATACACACACTCCAACAGGTCACACTCGAGCGCGCTCTTTAAATACAAATCTGCCTAGTACTTTCAAGCATGAGTGCTCCCTCGTTGAGTGGACACTCATACTCCACTCTAACTCATACTTCAGTTTTACTTGAGTGCATATCACTTGAGCCGCACTCAGGTGTGAGTGGGAGTAAGCTTTTAGAATACGGGCGTTGAACAATGAAATACTAGGGATGTGCCGGATACTGTTTTGCCGGATACCAGGTAGTACCGAATAGTAGTCTACCGGACACCGGTCAGGAGAAAATGATGACCGGATAATAACCGGATACCGGATAATAACCAGATACTCCCATACAATAATTTATTAAAAACACAACATTTTTATAGCTTAATTAAATTAACTAGTCCAATGTGGCAATGTGTTTAATACAATAACTTCAAGAGTTTTTTGTCTCTTTGACCTATTTGTCTTTACCAAGGCCATATCTTATGATTCACTTTACATTGTTTACGGGTATTCAGTATATAAACTTCACTGCTGTTGGTGAACGAGCAGTTCACATCACCATCACGAAAAAAATATGTCGTAAGTTCGTCGTAATGCAGCGCACGCTCAGTAATTGCTCGTGTTTCACAATTTGTAAACGTCAAGTAAACTTTACCGTTTCATGGTTGTAACAAAATATCTTACAGTACTATCCGGCAAATTTATACCGGATAGTGCCGGATGTCTAAATTTTACCGGATATCGGATACCGGTATCCGGATCCGCCACATTCCTATGAAACACGAGTCACACATTTCAATTATATCAATGGTAGTTTTTGCGACGCCAATATCTTGATTACGAAAGTTGGGAAAACTAAAAGCGTTGCAAAGAACTTTCCAGGTTATGAATCATAAATAAGCATAAAATGTTTACTGAGCCCCTCCTGAGCCTCCTCTGCTACGCCCCTGACTATATGGTTCCTACTTACACATAATCTTTCCACAGCTCCACAAAGAAAGTGTTCCCAACACGCCATACAGAAAGTCTCTCAGTTTGCGACGATTTGTCTGGAGCATAGTGTATAAGGTACGAGGCATTTTGCTCGGCGGTCTTGAACAAAAAATTCAGAGTGAATCTGTTGTACTTTTTATCAGGGACCGACGCGTAAGGATAATCAGCTGTGCCATTTAGATCAAACTGATAAGCTCTTGTAACTAGAAGAAAATTATTATATATTCAACATGGAATTAACATGCTGCACAATTCACTGGAGAAAAACAGTGAAATTCATGGTATGAAATTTGCGATTGCATCACTAAAACCGTAATATATCCATACTATTTCCCTACAATTGCAATAGGCAATTCCGGCTTTTAGTTTATGCCTGCAGGGGATGAAGGGAAGTAAGGTATCGTATTGCTGATTGTGCTGAAAATTTTTCAATAAAAACTACCGAAACAACCGAAAATTTTCAATATTTACATGTATAAACTATCACTCCGTGTTTACACGGCCATCATTTTTATTTTTTCAGCATAATCACTAATGTGATACCTTATTTCCCATCGTCCCCTGCACGCCTAAACTAAAAGCTGGAATTGCCTATAAGTATTTCCATAGTAAGGATTCTGATTTTACATTATTCTATAGTCTATAAATTTACACACTATTGCACTATATTGAGATGATAACCCTGGGATAAAATTTAACCTGCTGTTTTAGTTTATGTATTTCTGAACGTCTGTTTATTTCAAAACTTCAGAGGAAAACAGAACCTTCCTACTGATTCAGACAATATTTCTGAAAAAATATTTCCAAATTTATAAACAGGGGTGGAAAAGTATCGGAACCTGGGAACCTAGTTTCCAGAAATTTTTTGAGTTGAGAGTTTTGCAGAAAATTTATTTCAACATTTTGAGGTAACTCTGTTTACTCAACTTACAAGTTACAACTATTCTACTTTATTTACACTGTACACGCTAACATCAGCAGCCTTTTAAATATTTCACAGAAATTAATTCTTTTACACACCCCTGCCATCACAATGAGGTAAAATGGTAAATATATGCTCTGCAAAGTCTCCAATAAAATGCAAATTAAATGGTAAACAAATAAAAGTGATGGAATAAATAAGATTATAGGACACTTAGTTAAACGTTAATTAAATCCTTACTAGTTGATCATAACTGTGGTATATAACTAAAATACAAATAACACAATAACTATGCAGTTGTTTTGTTATTTTTGTAATTGTAACATTGCAAATTTCACAAAATTTCTAGCCTTCGACCCAGGTTCACAGAAAGAAAAACATTTTTTCCACCTCTGTTTATAAACCAACTGTTAGGAAGTTTTCTTTGAATCTTAGGTTAACCTAGGGTTAAACTAACCCAGCTTTTAACCCAACCGGCCCCTGGTATGTATGTATAATTCAAAAACAATCGAAATCTAAAAACGGCGAAATCGAAGTTGTCTTATCATTGCACACGTTGTCATAATTTGTATACTACTCACTTCTAGTACACACTGTATGGTGAAAAGGAAAGGGACAAACACATCTCCATGACGTCATAGTACTGATGCATTTTCCACCATTTTGACATGGGTTTGAGGAACAGGGGTCCACATCTTGAAGAAAATGAAACGATTGATATATTACGAAGTTAAAAGACATTGGACTACCTCTCTAATACAGACACCTCTCTAATACAGACACCTCTCTAATACAGACATTTCTCTAATATTGACACCTATCTAATACAGACGCCTCTCTAATACAGACACTTCTCTAATACAGACACCTCGCTAATACAGACACCTTTCTAATACAAACATCTCTCTAATACGGACATCTCTCTAATATGGACACCTCTCTAATACAAACACCTCCAATACAGAGACCCCTCAAATACAGACACCTCTCTAATACAGACACCTCTCTAATACAGACTTCCCTCTAATACAGGCACCACTCTAATACAGACACCTCTCTAATACAGACACCTCTCTACAACGGATGAATATTTTCCCCTTCTACAGTTTTGCTCTCTCAGTTCAAAAGTTTAACAAAATCTTACGTTCTTCGCATTTCGGGCCATGATATTGAGAATGACAATTTTGACAACGATATCCAAGCTGCACGTCTTTAACACAACTTTCCGCATTCGTACAGGGATTACTTACGCATGGATCTAAAAATTGATTAATGTAAACAGATTTGTAAGTCACAAAACCAAGTCCATTTTCATGCTCAGTGGTACTATCAGGACTTTCAGGGTCATTCTGGGTATGTGGTTGTGTTGATAACGTAGACGGCTGTGTGTGTGAAGACGGGGGGGGGGGGCTAGGAATTCTTAAAATCACAAGTCTCTGTAGCCAAGTTATAATGTACAACTACTTCCATTGGTCAACAAAATAAGTAGATAACTTCAAGATTAAAGCCTGGTTCACACTAGCAATTTTGTGGGCGATGTTGTGTTTCTGATAGCCCACGAACAGGCTCTCAAGGTGAAATGAGAGCCTGCATCGATGACTAATGGATTTGAATATCTGCGTCTCAAATCGTGACGCGAAATCCTCATTGGTTAGATGCTATAATTTATATTTTCCGCTGAGCTCTATATATGTCAACTGCTGAAGCACTATGCATAAAAAACACATTAACTGATCAAATTGGTCTTGGTCATGTTATCTCAAAGCACGAAATGTTCTGTTTTGAGAAAACAGTACTTAAAACATTTAAACTTTTGCTTGAATATCTTATATTTCTAAAAACTTTATAAACTGTGCGGTCTAAAATTAGTTTGCACGGTCTAAAATTAGTTTGCACGAATATTTGAAACAACACCATATAAGGATAGACATTCCATATTTGGAAAAACGAACGTTACGGGGCAGATATTCAAATTCATTAGTCATCGATGCAGGCTCTCATTTCACCTTAAGAGCCTGTTCCGGATGCCAATGAGCCGGAACTCGCACACAAAACTATAGAGTCGCTTTTCAGAAGGAAACAATTCTAACGCCCGTATTCTAAAAGCTCACTCACACTCACACTCAATGAGTGAAGGTTGAATCTGAGCTTCTATCGAGTGTCATTGCTGTTTTTGTATAGCTGGAGAATTAGTGTCGTACCTTACTATGTGACTATACTCACCCTCCAGCTATTCAAAAACAGCATTGGCACTCAAGTGAGCTCAGATTCAACCTCCACTCATTGAGTGTGAGTGGGCTTTTAGAATACGAGCGTAAGTCTTTTGCATGTCATTCACTCGATTACATTTGCTAGGAAGAGAAAAATCGCCGACAAAATTGCTATCGCGAACATGGCTTCAGGTTCACAACAGCAATTCAATCACTAAATCAGTTTTACGTAAATATACATTCAAATACCCGATTAAATGGCTTCAATTTGTTCTCTACTTTTCACGAGACTTACGTCATAAAATTCGTTCCCTCTTTTTACTTATAATTTCTATTTCGCCGTTTTCCACTTCAACCGTATCGTAACGTAACGGAACGCAAGGTAACGTGGCATTTTCCTTTGTGGCCAAGTCATTTGTTCCACTGTAGTGCTCAGGAAACAAAGAAATACGATACCACAGTATGACCAAATGTAACTTATTGGACCATTTGCATTATAGACTAAATTTTGATCTAAACAAGTCTAGACAAAAATTTCATAACAGCTTGAAAGAGCATCACAAAATTAGTAATATTGCAAAGTTTCGTTGCGAAATGTTGTAAAATGCCGATAATATAGCCTTGCAAAGTTTGCCGTTTTTCAGTCATTTTGTATTACAAACGGGAAATTGACACCTTGGAAATTATGCCATATTTCTGATTTTGATTTTTTTGCACCCACCTTGCACCCCTGTTGACCAAGGCCTGCACACCCCTGTGTACCCCCCTATATATCCACCCCTAACTTAAGTTAAAATAGGACTTCCTGTCCTCAAATTTCCCTAGATGTACACGTCATGCTCATGCCATGACAAACGGTAGCAAAATGGCGTCCTGAAAAACACGAGCATTTTCACTTTATTGCGGCCTTTTTGGATCCAAATTTTTGGATTAAACAATCAATGTTGAATTTTAAAGTCGTTGAAAAGGTGCTGAAAGCATTTTTGAAAGCAAGACGCATTACCAAGCGAGCGACACTTGCTAGAAAGATGGCGACCGTGGGACAACTCACTGAAGTTACACATCTGTTCTTAAAGAGCATATATGACTCGAAAATTGACGGTGTGATTTGTTAGTCTAATTTAAAAGATTATTGAAAACTGTAGAGTAACTTCTTTGATTTTTGTCTTCTTGCTTCGTTTTGAAGATATTTCATTTTGTATGATATGCGAAGGACCAACTTCCCACATTACATATGCATAATGTTTTAGCCCTAAATCTGTATATCTTTAATACGACTAAACACAATCAGTAGAAAACCTACATGGGTGTTGTTGTGGACAAATCTCGTGCTCATCATTCATTTTGAGCGAATTTATTTGATAGTGACAAAATTATATGACATTTTAAAGTAAGTAATTATGCATGTGTGACGTAGAAAGTTGGTCCTTTGCATATCATACAAAATGAAATACCTCCAAAACGAAGCAAGAAAACAAAAATCTGTCACAGAAGCGGTTACTCTACAGTTTTCAATTATCTTTCATATCAGACTAAAATATAACATTATACCAGGGATTATTCTAAGGTGCAGTGATAACCAATTTGTGCAGTGTGAAATGTGAATTGTGCAGTGATAAATTAAATTATGTGCAGTGATAAAATGCGATATTGTTCAGTACCAGAAATTGGTGACAAAATGGCACTTTGCATATAATCCACATACTGTACAATGGCTTTCAGTTTTTACTGGGAATATACAGGGTTTAAAGTACTTAACTCAAAATTATTGCAATCTGAAAGCTTGGCTACTGTTTGCCGACCTTTTGATCAATAAAGCATTCATTTACAAATGTTTCGGTGGCATATTTATTCCGATCGGGTACTCTCTCCTAGCGACCAAGTCGTGTTCAAGAAATATAATGTTGCATTATAGACCAAATTTTGATCTAGACAAAAATTTCATCGCAGCTTGAAAGAGCATTACAAAATTAGTAATATTCCAAAGTTTCGTTGCGAAATATTGTAAAATGCGGATAATATAGCCTTGCGAAGTTTTCCGTTTTTCAGTCATTTTGTATTACGCACTCCCAATTGACAGCCCAATCGGGTGTTGGGGCATCAATTTCCCGTTTGTAATACAAAATGGCTCAAAATTGCAAACTTCGCAAGGCTATATTATCCGCATTTTACAACATTTCGCAACGAAACTTTGGAATATTACTAATTTTGTGATGCTCTTTCAAGCTGTTATAAAATTTTTGTCTAGATCAAAATTTAGTCTATAATGCAAATGGTCCATTAAATAACTTAAATAGTTGAATAATTATTTTCTTTGGTTTTAAAGTATATGGTGCTTATGTGATATTGATTGAAAAATATCGATAAACATGCATGGTTGAAAAAGTCTTACTAAAAAATTTCCAATTTCAAACCTATTTTATATTTTATATATCCGGTTGGATATCACATCCGCGGTGTATCCTACCGCTTCCTGGTCATTAAGATCTACGACGCGGCCGGCTCAACGACGCGAAAGAAACGCGAAAGAAAGAAATTTGTCATGCAAGACAAAAACTCTGAATAATTTGTGGTCCCAGGGGTATTCTCAACGGGTTTATCATGCTCAGCTGAACGTTAAACTAAGCATTATCAGCTTATTGCGACCCAAAAGGTATACTTACTGTCGAAATTACAGCAAACATTGCATCGCTTTAGTTAAACTTAGCAGTTTGTAATGTTATTTGAAAATCGGCAAACAATTATTACAGTAATGAAATTGCTTAGCGTTCATTTTTTAGCTGAAATTCAGACCGCGTCGTTGAGCCGGCCGCGTCGTAGATATTAAACTCTCTATTGTGCTTTCAAATGCATATTGATATACTAACCTAGCCCGCGTGCAGGCCCAAGGGAACTGATAGTGGGCCTGCAAGCAAGGCCCGGTATTTTGTACTTTCCGCGTTCGCCCACGAACGCGGAATTCTGATTGGCTGTTTGCTGTTGGATTCTATAATTAGGTCGGTGATTCATCACAAAGGCTCTCGATAAGCTCAAAATTCGAAAATTGATCACTTTTTTCGATTATAAATGGAACACAAACAGACTGTTCATTGTTTACTTGAAGGAAGAGATGTTTTTGCCGTTATGCCAATGGGGATTGCTTGTCGTGAGGTGTTGGAATAGCAACATTACGACCGGGGTAAACTATAGTAACCTTTACTTGAGTTTCATTAATTTCAAACAGACTTGATACGTTATATGTTATATGTTCCTCAAGAAAATTATCTTTTGGTTGATGTTGAGATGTAGTGCATGTAAGCCTATTCGAAACACTTTGCGATTTACAAGGCTTCGCTGGGAGAGCGAAACAGAAGACGGTATTAAATTGCCGTTTGAAACGAAACGATCTGGACTCTGAACGCTCTCTTCTTTTGTAGAGTTCTTTACCAAATGAAATAACTGAAATACATTTCGTACTTTCCGCCGCCAACAAGAATTGCACACACGATCTGATAACTGAGGCAATTTGCCTGTTCCGATTTTAGTTGAAAATGAGCACTTGCAAATTTGGCAATTACTGACTGCGTTGCTTGCTTTTTTGGAGTTAAAACGCTGCCATTTACACATTGTTTATGTTCTGAATAAGCAGGGAAAACCCCGCAACATTTTAATGCGAGTTTGTTTGTTAATATTTGGGTGCTGTCATTGGTTCTTTTTTGACAATTGACGCGCGAATGGGGCGTGTTATGAAAAGGGGCGTTTTACAAAATACCGGGCCTTGCTTGCAGGCCCACTATCAGTTCCCTTGGGCTTGCACGCGGGCTAATACTAACCTAAATCGATGTTTGTGTGCCGTGCCATTTGTGGTCTCTAAAATAAAATAAAAATAGTCCAAGTATAACTGTGATTATACAATACATTTTACTTTAATGATATATTTTCTAACATATACATGAAAAAAATTTCTCAATTCTGATTGGGCTAAAATACTGTACTTTTTTTACACCAGCCATTAATTCGCTTCGACGAGTTATGTATTTGAATTTAATTCCATCGGTTTCCGTATGAAAATTATAGTTAAATGAGGTACGATCACGATACGAATACTGTAGGATGAGTGGCTGAGCGTGAGATAGTAGTATACGTGTTCCATGCATTGCACGGTAGCAAAATGGGAATTTTAATTCCATATCACGTGATCACAATCGGGAATTTAGGGACTGATTACTTGCATAGAGAGTTTTCAATCCGGACTGAGTTTCATCCCGGTTTCCCGGGCTGAAATTTCAGCCCGGTCCAAGGATAAAATCCTATTAAAACACAGCAAGCGATCACATGACAAAAATGTCAGCCCACGATGGTTTCAGCCCGGTTGAAGCTATATCCGGGCTGAAAATTTCATCCCAGTTGACCGGGCTGAAAATCGTGATGTACACACGTAAAAGTTTCGCATCTTGTAGCAAGTCTGGCAACAAGTTGTCACAAGTTGTCTTCGCACTGCTTGTCCCAAGTTGTCAACAAGTTTGGAACAAACTCTAAACAAATTGTAACAACCTTGTTGATATTATCAGTCTTGTTCCAAGGTTGTTCCAACAAGTCTGATACAGCCATGATATGACTATATTGTTACAACTTTGTGTCGTGTCGTCAATCTTGTAACATTCTTGTTATATCATGACTATATCAGACTTGTTAGAACCTTGTCACAAGTCTGATAATGCCATCAAGCTTGATACAAGTTGTTAACAGCTTGTTCCAAAGTTGTTACAACAACTGGGAACAAGCAGCGCGAAGACAACTTGTCGACAGCTTGTGAACAAAACTGTAACAACTTGTGCGTTTTGTAATCGACTAGGAATTTCAACCCGGGTTGAAAAAACAGCGTTTATAATAAGTGGTTTTATTTCTGTCCGTTCTATTTTGAAATGCAACCACAGTCTCGCATGCAGAAGTCAAATAATAGACATAAACAACATTTTAAATTCTTCGAAGAAGTGGAATAGCTCCATTTTGAGACTCGATCGTATCAGCCCGGGCTGAGATTTGAGCCCGCGGTTTGAACTGAAATTCTAACTCATCCCGGGCTGAACTTTGCAATGTAATCGTGAAACAATTTCAGCTTGGTTAACCGGGTTGAAATTCAGTCCTGATTAAATAGCTTGAAGCTATAACCCTAATTAAATATCTATTTAAGGGGCTGATTACATGGCGCGATTTCAGCCCGGCTACCCGGGGCTGGAAAGTCAGCCCAGTTCGAGCTAGCCGGGCTGAAAACTCACCCTGAAATTCTTGCCATGTAATCACTTCAGCCCGGGCTGGAAGTCCGTGTTTTTGTCAAATTTCGCGCGTTAATTTCGTATTTTTCGCGAAGCCAGCGATAAATTTTCCCGGGCTGAATCAGATTGAATATGCCCTTGCATGTATAATTGTTAAAATTTTCAGCCCGGATAGAAATCGCTTCATGTAATCAGCCCCTAAATGAGGTATTATATGTTATATATTACATACTGGTTGGCGCCCCAAAACAGGATTCGTCAAGTACACGACATTAGATCTATTGATGAGATCTTCGGGATTTGTCACATTGCTCGCTTCGTTCAGCTCACACATGTTCGAATCAAGAAGATAATTAAAACTCTGACATCGGTCATTCTCCTCCCAACAATCCGCCAAACAATGCTGGGGGTCTGCGGCCTGTGTTGTCGTCTTAAACACGTGACCTCTTAGGTACTTTCCAACCACGGACCGAATTCTCTGTTTTATCACCACAGTCTTGTTCTGCAAGCCGTTCGCCAGCGATGTGATGAGCACAGCGGCAAATATCGCGCGATAAAGTAACATCTGGAGATATGAGATATTAATGAAAGAATTAATTTTAATTGTGTTTAAAATATGGCACCGCGGTCAGTGATAAATTTTGCCTTGACAATATTTTTTGCTCGTGTCTACGGCTAATGGACCATTTGCATTATAGACTAAATTTTGATTTAGACAAAAATTTCATCACAGCTTGAAAGAGCATCACAAAATTAGTAATATTCCAAAGTTTCGTTGCGAAATGTTGTAAAATGCGGATAATATAGCCATGCGAAGTTTGCCGTTTTTCAGTCATTTTGTATTACGCACGGGAAATTGACAGCCCAATCGGGTGTTGGGGCATCAATTTCCCGTTTGTAATACAAAATGACTGAAAATTACAAATTTCGCAGGGCTATATTATCCGCATTTTATACGAAACTTTGGAATATTACTAATTTTGTGATGCTCTTTCAAGCTGTGATGAAATTTCTGTCTAGATCAAAATTTAGTCTATAATGCAAATGTTCCATTGTTGGCAATTTTTCCTTGCCAAGGGGCGTTGTTCCAAAGCCAGTCGTGTCAGCTATTGGAGAAGGAAAATTTGTTTGCGTCTACAGCCCGGGCGCCAAGGAAAACTTGACAAGTGTACAAGAAATACAGCTATCAATGGTTTTGGCAAACGACGTGCTCGCTCGGCGGGCTCGACGTGAGATAATAGAGAGGTTAAGATACCCCGGTTTCGGTGTACGTGTACGGGAAGCATGATTTCGGTTAGCAATATTTTCGTCGATATCTGTACCTTTACTCGTAATTAAGGTGCACATTTTTCGCATTATATCATTGTCTATTGCAAGAGAAAGAAAAAGTATGATCGAATTACAGACATCAGTAAAACAAGATGACACTACTCGTACTCGTACACCGAAGCCGGGGTATCTTAGCCTCTCTATTTGGGAGTTTACGATCTACGACGTGGCCGGCTCAACGACGCGGTCTAAATTTCAGCTCAAGAATTAGCGGTAAGCAATTTGATTACTGTTATAAATATTTGACGCTTTTTCAAATAGCCTTACAAACTGCTACGTTCGGCTGAAGCGACGTAATGTTTGCTGTAATTTCGACTTTATGTGCAGTAACACTCTTGAGTCGCATTAAGACAGACAGATTTAGATCGAGGACGCGGACGTCAAAGACGACGTGAAAATGGCGTCAAAATGGCGTGGCATATGCATACATGGGCATAACACGCCATTTTCACGTCGTCTTTGACGTCCGCGTCCTCGATCTAAATCTGTCTAATAGAGAGTTTAAGATCTACGACGCGGCCGGCTCAACGACGCGCTTGCGAAAGAAAGAAATCTGTCATGCAAGACAAAAACTGTGAATAAATTTGTGGTCCCAGGGGTATTCTCAACGGCTTTGTCATGCTCAGCGGGACGTTAATTAAATTAAGCATTAGAGACCTTAAGATTGACGTTTACGGCAAACGTTAAACCGCTAGCGAAGTTTTTTATTTTACAACTCTATCATTATAGCTTTTACACCAGTTTTGAAATATGTTAAACTTATTAAACTTGTGCTCTTTAGCAATGATTTAAGAAAGCAAATTAACCGCTAGTCATGCCATTTACCAAAGCAGTGAATTAAGATTTGGCGTTTGAAGTTGACGTTTGGCGCATAAATTTCATGCTTTAACGACTACAACCCCTCGTAGCAGTTCAAGCATGAAATTTATACGCCAAACGTCAACTTCAAACGCGAAATCTTAATTTACTGCTTTGGCAAATGGCATGACTAGTAGTTAATTTGCTTTCTTAAATCATTGCTAAAGAGCGCAAGTTTAATAAGTTTAACATATTTCAAAACTGGTGTAAAAGCTATTATAATAGAGTTGTAAAATCAAAAACTTCGCTAGCGGTTTGACGTTTGCCGTAAACGTCAATCTTAAGGTCTCTATTATCACGTCTTTCAAGCAACGGGAAGCTTATTGCGACCCAAAAGGTGATACTTTAAGCCTGCAGCACACGAGAGCTATCTGCTGAGCAAAAAGTTACTCGTGCCTGTTAGCTCAGCCGATAGCTCACCGTGTGCGCGTACATTTTACTGAATTTTTTGCCTCATGCAACCTTTTCTCACGTACCAAACATGTTTGATCGGTGCATGAGCTATCAGCTGAGCTAACAGGCACAAGTAACTTTTGGCTCAGCAGACATCCCTCGTGTGCTGCAGGCTTAAAGTCGAAATTACAGCAAACATTGCACCGCTTTAGTCAAACTTAGCAGTTTCTAATGTTATTTGAAAATCGTCAAAGATTTATTACAGGAATGAAATTGCTCCGCGTTCATTTATTAGCTGAAATTCAGCCAGCGTCGTTGAGCCGGCCGCGTCGTAGATTTTTAAACTCTCTAATAATGCTTGTTTAAGGCTGTGTTAAGAATGACAACGCGGTTGACAATACCCCTTGGACGAACCCACGAATTATTGACAGTTTTTGTCTTGCATCACAAATTTCTTAGGTTTACATGGGGATAAAACATATAATACTATTGTTTGTGGAAACACATGCAAATTTCTTTGTTTTGAAAGCGCGTCGTCGAGCCGGCCGCGTCGTAGATCGTAAACTCCCTAATTTTTAACAACATTCCGCGCACACGAGTAACAAAACTTGTCGAGTGAAACGTGTTAACAGTACACATACTAGAAAGTAAACTACAGGGTGTATCAATAAAAACGCAATCTCGGAATTTCCTAAGAAATCACTTTGCAATTCTTAAGCATAAAAGATTTTAGCCCCCTGGGAATTGAAATCGAATTGCTAATACAGGGTGTATAAAAAAAAACGCAACCTCGGAATTTCCTAAGAAATCACTTTGCAATTCTTAAGCATAAAAGATTTTAGGCCCCTGGGAATTGAAATCGAATTGCTAATAGATCATATTACTGTTGTTGTGCATTAAATAAATGCATAAATTTTGCTTTATGCACTCGCGCGTGCAGTAATTTTGACAGTTGTGCTATTTTAAATTCCCAGGCGCCTAAAATCTTTTGTCTTTAAAACAATGTCGATTTCTTGGGAAATTCCAAGGTTGCGCTTTTTTTGATACACCCTGTATGTCAGACAAACTTGTCTTCATATATCTTTACCGGACCCGATGACTTTGAATTTGGGTCGCAAATATGTATATACAGCCAATTCAAGAAAAGGTTGTCCTAAACCTTAAACTTTAAGCACGTATAACTCAATGGGAGCACAAGTTTCAGGCTTAGCAGTTGAATATTGCAGCCATTTGTGAATGGATTGTTCTCGTAAAGTGATATTTACCATGTCTCAAAGAAATGAGCCCCATATATATTTCTAAACTGATTAAATGATGTTCCCATTATACTTTGCACGCTTAGAGTTTAAGGTTTAAATTAAGATTTAGAATTTAAGGTTTGCAGACAACAACCTTCTATGAATTAGCTGCATATGATGTCCAATGAATTTTAGCTCAGTTTGGCTCGAAAATAAGTCTGAATGAGACAAATTAATATCAGCACACTTAATGTATTAATTCTGAGCGTGAAGATATTAAATAACTTGTGTCATTCATACTTAATTATTTCCAAAATTAACTTGCTTGCCAATAACATGCAGCAGTAAGACTTCGACAACTTAAGCCCGTTTTCCACTTCACCATTTCGCTCGCCGTCTCGCGCTCGATTACATTAAAACATAATTCCCGGTTCACTCTTTATACATCATGACTCTGATTCTCCATTTAACATACGAGCCTCTAGTCCTGGACTATAGGGTACATTTTAATTAACGCCGAACAACGCTACAGTTCGGTCGGACACCAATATACACTCGGGTCGAACAAACAATAAACCTCAGTTTCACTTTGGTCGAACAGAATGTCCGGTGGTTTCCTCTCTACGTCGGACAATTTCACGAATGGTCGGACAATGTACGCGACCGACGATATTTTAAGGCTTGCATGGTCAAGAAAAACTTGCTTGTCTCTATACTTGCATATTTGCGCATTCAAAACGATTACAAACATTAAACAACCAGTTGTGACGATGTATAAATATTTGGCTATAACCGATAATTTAAATACATTTTAAAAACTCATTAATAATTCACGAGGAAAAGACAAACGAAATCACTGCCATGTCGGTAGTTTTATATAAAAAATGATAAAAAATCATGTTCATTTACATAAACTTCAGCTTTGATTTTCTCGGCTTAGACAACGTTTATTTTTAAAATTACTTCGCCAACGAACTCTTTAGATGGGTCGTTTATTTAAGCCATTTAAAACGCTCGCTGAGTCCGTGCTTTTATCAGAGATAAAATACTCGATCTGCGCTCTCGTGTTTTATATTTGATAAAGCACTCCTGCTCGTGTTTTAAATATAGTAGATGTATACTGACCTGGATTACTTGTTACCGAAGAAAACTTGTTCGTACTTTGTGCAGCAATAAAACTACCAAGACGAACTATGACATCCTGCAACGAGACATGTATATCAACCTTGTCATTAAGCTTCACTTTAAGAAATATTGCGGTATAAAGTAACTGGTGGTCATGCAGCCCGTTATAAGTGGATGAATATATCATTGTTGTGATTGCGGCTATCGTGTCCATGACGGCAAAAGTATACCGTTACCCCTTCGCATATAAGCCCTGGGCTTATTTATATTCGTTCGTAAGCATTTTCGTATGGGTTCATGCATGGGGGGGGGGGCATATATATAAGGGGGGGCATATATATAAGAGGGGGGCTTATATACGGACGACCTTTGGTGTTACTAATAATATTTATACCTGCACATAAAACAAATTGGTTAACATATAATATAATACGTATACTATTTAAAGCACGGGTATAAGGAGTGTTTTATCATATTTAAGATGCAAATGCGCAGCACGAGCATTTTAGATATAATAAAACACGACAATACAAGTGCTTTAAATGACTTAAAGCACGACTACAATAACTACAAAGGCAAAATATCCTTCTACACGGGTAAAACTCTCACATCTTAGCTTGTA